AAGAGTCGCACTTGGTTGCGATCAAAAGGATAATGCGATATCTCGCGGGCACGTTGAACGTAGGTCTTTGGTATCCCAAAGGTTCGACATGTCATCTTGTTGGCTATTCCGACTCGGATTTTGCAGGTTGCAAACTCGATAGGAAAAGTACCAGCGGTACTTGCCACTTATTCGGTCATTCGTTAATCTCGTGGTTTAGTAAGAAACAGGTTAGTGTTGCACTTTCCACCACCGAAGCGGAATATGTCGCTGCGGGAAGCTTTTGTGCCCAAATTCTTTGGCTAAAACAACAACTAGTGGATTTCAGCCTCATACTTGATCACATCCCTATTAGGTGTGACAATATGAGCGCTATCAGTCTTACGAAGAACCCTGTTCTTCACTCGAGGACTAAGCACATAGAAATTAGGCATCACTTCATACGAGATCACGTCCAAAAGGGAGATGTCACAATTGAGTTTGTTGAAACGAAACATCAATTGGCAGACATTTTCACGAAACCCCTTAGTAGGGAGAGATTCTTCCACATTCGGAACGAACTTGGAATTTTGGATATCTCTATGAACTAATCCATTCTTTTTATTGACTATACTAATTTGAGCGTCGGAGGCGCGATAAACTCTTTTTGCAGGGCTTTTATTGTAGGTATCTCTTCCCTTGGTATTCAACCGAATTGGACTTGATGTTTTTTTTGTCAACAAAGCTGTAATCGATTATTCCTCGAAGAGAAATCGATTAGTCGCCTCTGTCCCTCTTAATCGATTACTCGTTTCTTTTTAATCGATTAAAATCCAAAAACGTCTTTAGCGCTGATTCACTTTTTAATCGATTAATTTTGTTCAATTAATCGATTAGACTCATCTGTCCATATTAATCGATTAACCATCTTTGTTTAATCGATTAATAGTTTGAAAAGAGACGTTTGGTTCTGCTTACTTCTAATCGATTAATAAGCTTAACTTAATCGATTAGCCTCGGCTGTGTTCCCTAATCGATTAAATACTTGTGCTTAATCGATTAATAGTCGATTTTTGCCTTATATCACACCCAGTCTTCTTCTTCTTCGCCATTCCCTTTTTCGAATCAGAGAAACCCTAGCTTCTTCCCTTCTCAATTTTTTCTCAATCTTCATCATAAAATTCTCAAATTTCTTCCATTTTTTGCCAAATTTCATCAATTACAAAAAGGAAGAATGCCAAGGTGCAAGAACGCTTCCTCGGGTCAAGAAACGGCGACAGAAGAGAATGAGAGGCCATGGCGTCGTGAAGGGAGCAAATATATTCACATTCAAACGGGTCTCGCCTTCAACACTGGAGCTTCCGTCGAGAGGTTCCACAACATCTTCCTCACGAAGGAGATCGTCTCTCCCAAGATCGTGAACAAGGACCTCTTCAAATCGGCGACCTATACTCTAAGTAAGTCTATGTTTCTTCAGCAAGGTTTGCTTCGTTTCATTCATTTGACATATGAATTTTTCTGTCCAAATATTATATGTCAATTTTATGCAAATCTTCGTACCACTAAGGGAGGTTCGCCATCTCTCATTTCCTATGTTGACGGCAAAACCGTTTTCATTGACAGTGCCGGTTTAACTTCCTTGTTTGGCCTTCGTCG